GAGCAGGGAGCCCGATGCGGGACTTGATCCAGGGACTCCAGGATCATGACCTGAGCCAAAGGCAGTCGCTTAACCAACTGAGCCACCCAGGCGCCCCATCTGATGTTTTTCTAATGATTAGACTGAGGTAGTGGGTTTTCTGAAGGAGGATCAGATCACAAAGGCAAATGCCATTTTCATCACATCATATCAGGGGTACATATTATCACCATGACTTACCACTATTGATGTTGACCTTGATCTCCAGTCTGAAGTAGTGTTTATCAGTTCCCTCCACTCTTTTTTTTTTTTTAAAGATTTTATTTATTTATTTGAGAGAGAGAATGAGATAGAGCATGAGACAGGGGAGGGTCAGAGGGAGAAGCAGACTCCCTGCTGAGCAGGGAGCCCGATGTGAGACTTGATCCCAGGACTCCAGGATCATGACCTGAGCCGAAGGCAGTCGCTTAACCAACTGAGCCACCCAGGCGCCCAGGTCTCTCCACTCTTTTCTCTCCCTTCCCATATGTCCTCTCTGGAAGGAAGTCACTATTTGCAGCCCACACTTCAGAACTGGGGAGTTAACACTCTCCTGGAGTAAAGTAGCTACATAATTTATTTGGAATTTTCTGCACGGGAGATTTGTCTCCTTCTTCCCTTATTAATTTATTCAATGACTTATTTATATCACTATGGACTTATGGATATTTATTTTATACTTTGTGCTATAATATAAAATTTATTGTTATATATAAATTCATATTGATCACTGAATTTTTTATTAATTCTTGAAATTTCTTTTTTCTTTAAAAACCTTACCTTTAAAAATGTTGTATATTGGAGTGCTTGGGTGGCTCAGTCAGTTAAGTGGCCAACTCTTGATTTTGGCTCAGGTCATGATCTCCTGGGATCAAGCCCTGCATGGTCAAGCTCTGTGCTCAGCAGGGAGTCTGCTTGAGGATTTCTGTCCCTCTCCCACTCCCCCCCTGCCCCTCGTGTGTGTGTGTGCTCTCTCTCTCAAATAAATAGATAATTCTTAAAAAAAAAGTTATATATTTTTTATTTCTCTTCATTTTAATAGTTTATCTGAAGATTTTTTTGGGATGTCTACATATACCATCATATAAATTACAAGTAGTGAGAGTTTTGGTTCTGTCTTCATAAACATGACATGTTTCCAAAACCTTGTTTAGAGTATTAGAAATTGTTGGTTCTTCTCTTTTCCATAATGCCTTAGTTTTTCTACATGGTGTATTATATCTGGAGTTTCTTTTGTAGGAATCCAAACGCCGAATGAGTTACTTTTTAGATGTTTTCCTATTTTCTCAAGAAGACTTAGCTTTAAATTCAGCTATCCTTATGTGGCCTAGGAAAATTAATCCCATCTTTGATGAAAATGATGTGGTAAATATCTTTTTCAGTATATATTTTTGTATTCTGACATTTTAAGCACATTTATTTGATCTACCTTTAAAAACTAACTTTATGTGTCAATATGAGTTTGGGGCTAGAAACATTTATGGCCCTGCCGGTTAAGAACAGGCTGTTAGGCTTAATACAGGATCTGGTAAGAAGTGGGACTGACATTAAAGAGGTCAGAACTGTTATAGACTGGTAATAATAGTAAGCACTGCCTTAAGTGCTTTGCATTTAGTAATTCATTTAGTACCTGCAGAAATCCCAGGTCCTCCTATTTCCCCCATTTCATAGATGAGAAAAGTGAGTCTCAGAGAAGTTAAGTAACTGGCCCAGGATGAGAGAGAAAAGAAGTAGCAGATTCAGAATTTTATATCAGATTGAATATACTTTAGATTTTGGAACAGTTCTACTGTAAACCAACTTCTCCTAAAGTGGGAAGTGAGATGGTATAGTAATGAAAAAGCAAATAAGTCAGATAAACCAAAGTTCTAGTGCAGATTTTGTCTTTTATGACTTAGTGACATTGGACATGCCTCTTGATTTCTGTAAGCCTAAATTTCTTTATCTCTGAACTGAGAATAATAATAATAACTGTGCTAATGTAGGTAAGGTATTGGGTAGTTCCTGACACATGGCATGTGCTCAATAAGTGGTAGCTTCTACCGTTACCCAGCATCTGTTAATAATACATAAGAAGCATTACAGTCACTTCAGAGAGCTAGGAAAATCTTTCTGGGTGGTTTATTATTCTTTGCATTTTTTTATTAGTGTTTCACTTTTGTACTCATTTTTACTTCTGTGGTGTTTTTTATTACCATACAAAGCATTCAGATTTCTGACTTGATAGGTTTCCGTTGTAACAAAATAATTAACCTGATCAAATTGTCTCTTAAAAAGCTCATTGAGAGTGCTAAACATAAAAAAGAAAATGAGCTAATTGCCAAGAGAGAGAAACTGATTTTGGAAATAGAAAAGGAATCACGTCGCATGGAAGAGTTTACAGAATTTGCAGAATTGGACCGCATGCAACAGGTATGATAAACACAGAAGAGCATAACTATGACAGGCCTGTAGATTAATATGAGACATGTTTGCATACATTTAAAAATACAGAAAAACATATGCTTACTATGGCAAAAGAGGGGTCTGATTCTTAGGCCTGGAACTGGTACTATGTATGTGATCTTTGTTGTGACTTAGCTTTCTATCTGTAAAATAGATGGAACCATATCTTTTGCTCTATATCATAGTAGTGTTGTAAAGTTGATATTTAAAGTTGCAGCGTCAGTGCCTGGGTGGCTCAGTCAGTTAAGCATCTGCCTTTGGCTCAGGTCATGATCCCGGGGTCCTGGGATCGAGTCCCGAATCTGGCTCCCTTTTCAGCAGGGAGTCTGCTTCTCCTCTGCCCCTCTCCTCTGCTCATGTGCGTGTGCTTTCTCTGTCTCTCTCTCAAATAAATAAAATCTTAAAAAAAATAAAGTTGCAATGTAAATGCAAGGACACAGCCTATGCAGTGTCATAGAGTCTTATAACATTACTTGGATATTTGTTGAGACAAAAAATTATTTGCTTTCAGTATGTGACAGATGTAAGGCAATTACAAAAACGTATTCAGGAATCTGAGGAAGCAGCTCAGTTTATTAATAAAGAAGAGGAACTTTTCAAATGGGAATTGACAAAATATCCTGAACTGGATAAATTAAAAGTGAACATTGAGCCCTATCAGAAGTTTTTCAATCTTGTTCTGAGGTGGCAACGAACAGAAAAACGGTAATTTCTGGTAATGTAATAAAAATTAAGCAAATGATGTAAAAGGATTTGTAGATGTATAGTGATTTTTTATATTGTTGTTGGCTAAGTGTTTAAAAGTAGGACATATTCATCCATTTGAAAGAGAACCAAGTGTCATACAGGAGAAATGCCAACTGGTGCTAAGGTAGCCTGACCTTACCAATATGATACTGAAGTCTCACTTGGGTTTTCCAGAGCTGTTTCACCTCTTTATGCAATTAATGAAGTTGACTAATATTTTTTGGAGTCAAATCTGCATTTCATTTGGCTACTCTTAGTCAGCCATTTACAGTCTGATACATATTTTAGCACATGCAGCATGGTTGGGATGATGGTGTTAATCTTATCTCTCTACCATCGACTCTACCTGTGTGATTAAGAAAAACTGTTAACTGCTCTGGCCCACAGTTGTTTCTCTATTAAAATGAGGAGGTTAGCCTGAAGAATCTCCAAGTCCCTCTTTGCACTCCAGAAGTTTCTGAGTTTAATATTTTGTCTTCAATTCAGGTGGATGGATGGAGGGTTTTTGGACCTTAATGGGGAAAGTATGGAAGCTGATGTGGATGAATTTTCCCGAGAAATTTTTAAGACCCTGAAATTTTTCCAAATGAAGCAAAAGAAGGAATTACAAGAAAAAAGAAAGGCAGCAAAAAGGCGATCTCTGGGAGAAGAGAGACTTGAAGAAGAACCAAAAGAGAATCCTACTATTACTATGTGCTCCACAGTAATGGAGCAGATAAAAGTTTTTAAGGTATGAACACATCTAATGACATTTTAGAAAGCCCTGGTAGGAGCTATTCACATCATCCAGTGCTAATGAAGAGAAATAGAAAGATTTGGAAGCAAAACCAAAGCTGAAGCTGGAAAACTTGATCTATTACTAAATCCATGCTTCATCCTTTGCTGATAAAGTCACTGAAATCAATCCCTTTGTAGAACAATGGATGGCAGATAGCAAAGCCTAGAATGACCAGTGACAACCATATAAAGAGGGTAAAAAATGACCAGGGCAGACCCATCAGCCTATCCAAGCGCAACAACACAGGGTATCAGTTAGTTGGGAAAGCTGTAAAGTCACGCCACTTAGGTTTGTATCACAATTCTATGCTTGGCCATGGCATACCTTGGGCAAGCTAGTTAGCCTCACGGGCTTCAGTCATCTTTACAAGAGGATAATAAGTATTTTTGTGACCGTGCATAAGGCCTCCAGCATCCCTAGGCAGCAGTTGCAGTGGTCCCAGGGGCAGTGCCAAGTTTCCACTGTCGGCATACTCAGAGCGCAAACTCGGATAGCATTTGGAGCACTGTTCCTGTCTGGGCCGAGCACTCTTAGAGATTCCATGAGCTGCCTGAAATTTTTTCAAAGAAACCACTTAAAATCATTTTCAATATTGAATATAGTTGTGTGGCTTAAAAAATTTAAAAAGATATCTGAGGGGTGCCTGAGTGGCTCAGTCGGTTAAGCGTCTGACTCTTGATCTCAGTTCAGGTCTTGGTCTCAGGGTTGTGAGTTCAAGCTCCACGTGGGCTCCATGTTGGGCGTGGAGCCTACTTAAAAAAAAAAAAAAAAGATGTATCTGGAAAGTCTCCTTCCCATGTTTCTCACCCATATAACTCACGTTATCAATGTTAGGACTTTCATGTGTATACTTCCAGAGTTTTGTTACACATATAACAATGTGAATATATATTCTTATTCTGACATCTTTCTACATAAAATGTAGCATACTATATGTATTATTTCCCCCCCTTTGCTTTGATTACTTTATCTTGGAGACTTTTCTCATCAAATATAAACTTTTTTTCTCCTTTTTTTGTACCTGTATAATGTTATATATTGGTGTTAGATTTCATGTGTGTGTGAAGGTGTGACTTCAGGGTAAATTCCAGAACAGTAAATGCCAGGTTAAAATCTATAGTCAAATTACCTTACCTAGGGGCTATGCCTATTTAAAGTCTCACTACCCTCAACAAGAGAATATCCTTAAACTTGGGTTTTTGCTAATCTGCTAAGAGAATTTTCATTTCTCTTATTTCATAAAATGTTAAGCATATTTGTATATATTTAAGAATGTTTTGTATTTCTTTGTGAACTGTTTGGTTTTATCATTGTCTATCTATTGAATTATTGATCTTTTTCTTACTGATTTCTAGGACATAATATATATTAATCTTATTTATATTTCTATATTAATATTAATTATATTAATATTTCTAGGACATATTAATTTCCTAGGACATTATAAGTATATATAATACGTATATATTAGAGAGAATAGGCTTTGTCTATGATGTATTTTGCAAATATTTGTTATTTGTTTTTTGACTTTATCATGGCTCTTGCCTTACAGAAGCCTTTTTCTTTAAAGATTTTATTTATTTATTTATTTATTTATTTGAGAGAGAGAGAGAAAGCATGAGCAAGGAGAGGGGCAGAGAGGGAGGGACAAAGGGGGAAGAGGGAGAGAGAGAATCTCATGTAGACTCCCTTCTGAGCGCAGAGCCCTACTCAGGGCTGGATCTCACAACCCAGAAATCATGACCTGAGCCAAAACCAAGAGCTGGACGCTTAACCAACTGAGCCACCCAGGCACCTCCTTGCAAAAGCCTCTTTATGTTTTTATTTGAATTTAGATTGTTCCAAAGTAAACGGAAAAGGAAGGTTTTTTATTTTTATGTAGTTATCATTTTTTTTAAGATTATTTATTTATTTATTTGAGAGAGAAAGAGAGCACATGAGAGGGGGGAGGGTCAGAGGGAGGACCAGATTCCCTGCCGAGCAGGGAGCCCGATGTGGGACTCGATCCAGGGACTCCAGGATCATGACCTGAGCCGAAGGCAGTCGCTTAACCAACTGAGCCACCCAGGCGCCCTGTAATTATCATTCTTTTCCTTTTTTTTAAATTAAGTAATCCCTATGCCCAACATAGGGCTCGAACTCACCACCCTGGGATCAAGAGTCTCATGCCCCACCAACTGAGCCAGCCAGGTGCCCCCGTTCTTTTCCTTTGTCTACTGAATTTTAAATTATAGCTAGAAATGCTTTCCTCATTCCAAGATAATGTTGTTTTTTTGTTTTTTCCTCTTTGACATAGAGCCTTTATTGAGCATTCTTTTTTGGACTGCTGCCTTTATAGTGACCTTTGGGCCTCGGGGCCATGGTAATCTATTTACTCCAGATTGGGGCTTCAATTTATGGCTCATTTACATCAAAGTCCAAAACTAGAGTAAATAACATTCCAGAATAGTTTTTTTTTTTTTATTAAGTTCAATTAGCCAACATATAGTACATCATTAGTTTTTGATGTAGTGTTCATTAGTTGCATATAACACCCAATGCTCATCACAACATGTGCCCTCCTTAATACCCATCACCAGGTTACCCCATCCTTCCATCCCCCTCCCTCCTGTAACCCTCTGTTTCCTTCTAGTACTTTCATAGTTTATTATTTGCTAACATTTTATTGAGGATTCTTGAGGAGGGAGGGATGTTGATCTTAATTTTCTTGTAATGTCTGTGTCAGGTTTTGGTATCAGGATTATATTGACCTTATGAAACAAATGGGAAGTTTTATTTTCTCAATTTTATTTCTTTTTTTAAATATTTTATTTATTTTTTTGAGAGAGACAGAGATAGCGAGAGAGAGCACAAGTGGGAAGGAGGGGGAGAAGCAGACTTCCCGCTGAGCAGGGAGCCCAATGAGGGACTTGATCCCAGGATCCTGGGATCATGACCTGAGCCGAAGGCAGATGCTTAACCGACTGAGCCACCCAGGCACCCCATATTTTATTTCTTTTTTTAAAAAGATTTTATTTATTTGAGAGAGAGTGTGCATGAGCTGGGGGGTGGGGAGAGTGGCAGAGGGAGAGAGAGAAGTGGACTCCCTGCTGAGCCTTACTTTGATTAGTAAAGTCCTTACTAATCAAAATGGAAAGTTGGATAATCTATGATCCTCTGATTTAAAAAAAAGTAAATTTTAAATAAAGTAAAAAAAAAATTACTTTATTAAATTATTATTTATAAAAAATGGAAACATGATCATACAAATATAAAAATAAACATGTATCAAATATTTTATTCTATTTATTAATTAATGAGAGAACCAGTTAGGTGGTAAGTCTGGTTCAAAGAGCAGTTGAGGAGCTGAGTATTTATGGGCAATTTAATAAAGGAATGTTAGAAAAAGATTGCTAGTATTGATCTAAAACTGGTTAATGTCACACAGAACAAAGTATAACATTTGGAGTTACCTTTTGTATTTAACAGAAATTACTTGCATCTCTACTGGACAAAAATCTACAAGTTGTAATTTTACAAAGTCTGGGACATTGAGTAATAAACAGTGAGTTGAATAAAATACAGTCTTTAAATAGTTACATTTTCCTTAGGTGGCCCTATTACTGAGATGACATTGAAAGGACACACCAGCTACCATTTTTTTCCTTTTTCCCCCAAGTTTTTTTTTAAAATTTAATTTTATTATGTTATGTTAGTCACCATACAATACATCATTAGTTTTCGATGTAATGATCCACGATTCATTGTTTTCATGCAACATCCAGTGCTCCGTGCAGTACGTGCCCTCCTTAATACCCATCACTGGGCTAACCCATCCCCCC